CCCCGAAATCTAGTCTATAGTAGAGATCAGTCTATATTAGAGGTCACAATAAACGACGACTCGCGGAATGGCTTCAGTGCCTTAAGGCTTTAGTTTATCTTTAATTTTAGTTGGTACAGAGGTGCAATATCCAGAAAAGAGGCAGAGCGTCAAATATCTACGGAAAATTTAGAAACAGGAACATTTTTATTGCGTACAAGTGAATCATGTCCAGGTGTGTATCATATTTATTGTGTATTATAGAGATGTGTATTAAAACTATACTATCTTTTCGGCATTGGGAGGTCAGCAATCCAATGATATTTACCAGGACAAAATTAAATATAGATGTGGACCCCCCGAAAGTAACGCATACTTAACAAACCAGTAGGCTCCATTTTTTTTAGCTTTTTGAAGTCTTGCCTGAAAAAAGAATTGTAAATAAAGCATAATACATAATATATACATAAAAATTCAATGTTTTAGGTTCTTATGTATTAACTGTGCGTGACCATGTTGATGCCATCGGTCTGGTTGTTAGACATTATAAAATCAGAAATATGGACAACGGGGGTTGTTATATCACATATAGACAGATATTTCGAACTATTCTGAAACTAATCGAGTATTATAAAAGTGAGTATTTATGTTTAGTACCATTCTAGAGAGGGTTCAATTTAGATGGCAAATTCGTATTAGCAATACGTCTATCAAACAGTGGCGGAGCGAAAGAGGGTATCATAGACAACAGTATTATGGCAATAGGAAACCGTATCATAGACAACAGTATCATGGCAATAGGCAACAGTATGGCAATAAGCAACAGTATCATAGACAACAGTATCATTGCACTCGGCAACAGTATCATGGAACAGTATCATAACAATAGTGTCATGGCAATAGGCAACCTTATCGTAGACAACAGTATCATGACAATAGGCAACCGTATCATAGACCACAGTATCATAACAATAGGCACCAGTATCAAAGACAACAGTATCATAACAATAGGCAACAGTATCATAACAATAGGCACCAGTATCAAAGACAACAGTATCATAACAATAAGCACCAGTATCAAAGACAACAGTGGGGATCCTCTAGAGTG